CCTCCACATATATATATATATATACAGATACATCTATATATAGACCTATATACATATATACGTACGCATAACTATTTTACTTTTCTACGTATGTATTCTAACTTGAGAGTGCAGAAGCAAGGTGCAGCCTAGCCTATTTACCCGGATGAGAAACGGTGAGTGCGCACTGCATCAAATTTCGACAATGTAGAGCCCGGCGAAACTGCAAGTCCAGCCCGAAAAACTTGAAATAGCCTGTCAGTTGCAGCTGCGACCAGCTTCCTGCCAAGAGCAGAGAGGGAGAGAGAGATCTAGATTCCGCGCTCATGGAAAAGGGTATGCTATGTGAGAGATCTTCCAGTGCGGTGTTATTCCAGCAGGGTAGAACATGGTAGTTGGAGCTGAGTGCTGTTGACACCCAGCAGCATGCATGCAGTTTCCCTGCTACTGCGCATGCTCTGCGTAAGCCTGCTGTTGCAATCAACTCGCCCGCAAGCCTGAAAAACCGCGCATGGCATAGTGTGAGCAGATATCCGGCGTACTTTGTATCCCTAACGCAACCGCCTCTCGAGCAACCCCTTCCAAATCCGCAGGAGGTGATCAACACCACAAAGGAATCCGGTGCCATCCGTCATGGCGCAGAGTGCTTCAACTTCTACTTTCCTCAGGCTGGCTTCATGCTTCACATGTCATGTTTGTCCCACTGTGGCATCCGAAGCGAATGCTGAAATCACAACGAGACTCTCTAGGGGCATACACACCGTAAGCTTCAGCGAGCAGTAGGTTTTTCCTTGTTGAGGAAGTGAAGTTCCTTGACAAAGACACCAGAACCACAGAAAGCCCATTCTCTGGGAGCTAAACCCTAAACCCTAAACCCTGAACCCTAAACCCTAAAACCCTAAACCCTAAAACCCTAAAACCCTAAAGCCTAAAACCCTAAAGCTCTAAACCCTAAACCATCGAAACCCCATTCTTCTTCTCTGGGAGCTCTCGAGGAGTTGGACACCAACTTCCTTGTGGCTCGAGCCTCAGTGCACCAAGGCACTGGCGCGCGCTTCATGGAGGGTTTTAGGGTTTTGGGTTTTGGGTTTTGGGTTTAGGAGTCGGCACGTTGTAGGTGTTGCAGCACGAAAGACGTTCGGGGCGACACCAGGGCACCACGTTGCTTCCTGGGCAAAGTTAAAGGACACCCCAGAGCGCGATGTCGCAGAATTCCTCGATCGCTTCAGTTCTCACAGACTGAGGTGTGGGAAGGCTTCCATGACATCGATGGCAAGTCAGGGCCTTGGCAAAACTTCGGATTGCGAGGCGAAGGGCAACGATCGTCGGACTCCTGTCCTGGGGCTCTATAGTTCAGAACCACACATCCAGGAGTTCGGGTGAAACGCGGATTCCGGCTCTTCGGAACCTCTGGGCTCATGTGATCCGGGTCTTAAGCCCGAAGCCCGATAAACGAAACCCTAAATCCAAAACCCTAAGAGTGTCAAATGTGTGGTCCAATTCGCTGCCACGTTTTGCTATGTCTCAGCCGAGGCCTTGGGCCTACATGGATGAGGACTCCGCCAAAAAAGAAATGTCGGCTTGTGATTGGGTTTTTCAACAAACAGCTAAATAGTTTTGATGAGATAATTGTTTTATGCAGCAATAGTGGTTTTTTTAAGACAGCAATTGACTTCTGAAACTTCTGAAGAGGATCAGTCTAAGGTTAAGGGTTCGAAAGGTCCCATCGTACCGCATGGAGCACGAATCGAAAGCCTTGAAGGACGAGCTCCGCGATTTCCTCACGGAGCGTGCCTGGAGCCCGACTTTAGCAAACTTTGGCCATGATACAGCTGCTTTATAGAGTATGCCGCCTCCCTGGCTGGCGCAAGTCACTGGAGCACCTTCCCAGCATCAAGAGTTTCCGACTGCGATTCCCTGTCCCAGGAAGAATCCTGAAATCTAGCGGTTACTTCGAAAAGTAGTTCTCTGCCAGTCCAGCCGGGCCACGTCTGCAGCCCCCCCCCGCCCCCGAAAAGTTGGCCCAAAAAGGGGCTCTCTCAGTCGGGCCTTGCTCGGAAATGTTGACTGAAGCTCTGATCTTCAGAAATTTTGAGGTCGAAGAGAACTACGCCTTGCCTCTCAATCCGATTTGGCCCGGGCCTGTGCAGGAGAGAAGTGCGAGGCTGATCCGACAACCCATGACAACCTAACCTGGTCGTGGCTTGTTCTGTGAGAGCGTGAGACATGAGGTGTGTTCGCGACCTCGGCTGGTTCGACATCCTGGAGCATCAAATTGAGTCCATAGCTCATTCTGCCAGGTACTGTACCCAGAGACTCCAAAACTCCTTAATCAAAGGAATATACCTTAAAAAATAATAGGAACCCTACTATGATTTAAGGTCTATTCCTTAATTAAGGGGTTTTGGAGTCTCGGGGTAAGCCTGCGAAGCAAAAGCTCGGCCTCGCTTAGACTGAGCTCAGCCCTCTGAGGAACCAGAGCTGCAAAGCAGCGCTGGAGGTCGCTATCCCAGTCACCGCGCCTGACTACTTTAGGGCTTTGGGGCTTGTATCAGGGTCCCTTATTGCGCCAGAGCGACGACTAGCTGGGCGATCATGGCTCAGTGCGCACTTCTCTGTGCAAGTTCTTCCAGCTGTGTTTTCAGAGGCCTGGTACCCAGAGCAGCAGGGAGCTTAGATTCGACGGAGCTCTCGAGAGCTCGGGCCTGTGGGAGGTGTTTGGCCTCGCGGCCACAAAATGATGCCTCTGCCAGCAGCATGCCGACAACAAGCACTCTTTCCGCATCCGAATCCGCGGAGTTGGGGACAGTCAGAAACTTGTAGAATTCCCACTTGACCGTGTCTTTGTCGGCTGAGCATGTCTGTAGTTGCCTGCTCAGGTCCGGCATTCTTGAGAAGATAAAGGCTCCCTTGCAGACATCAGCTTTTGGTTCTAACGTCCACTTTGCGACGAGAACGTGTGCACATCACCATGCCATGCCAGGCAAGTTTTGCGCTTGCCATAAGAATGCTGGGTATCAGAAGAAGTCTTTGCGATCGTACATCTGGAAAAGTCCTCCTTCTCAGATCTCATATCAGCAATGCCGCTCGCTGCATGGTCCGTCTAAGCGCTAGACGCGTGAGAGTGGCTGTGCCAGAGTTAGGCAGTCAGTGCCGTCTCCAATGCTAGGCATTGCACGAGGAGTTCACAGAGGGCCTGGAGTTGAAAGCAAGTGCGGACGTTCCTCCCCCAGGTTTACACGCAGACTCGTTGGACATCAGCTAATAATTGAGAAGTTCGGTGAATGCTGCCTTGCTTGTTTCCTAAACGCCAAAGGGTCTTGTCCTGCACCGAGACGACAAGTAGCACTCGCAAGTCACGACCCTGCCTTGCTCAGAACGCGCGGCCTCTGGTCCGGACTTTGTCGCATTGCCCGGACCTGGACATGTCGGAGAAGGCCAGTGAAGCCGCATAACCGCATACTCGTGGAGATCTTCGTAGGTCACGTCGTAGATCCGTGTGCTCGAAGTGCTTGTGCCGCCTGCGAGGCCATGCTGGCCATCTCACAGGCGTCCTCCGCTGGGAGTAGGCAGGTTGCCCAAGCATTTTCCCGAAGCCTCAAGCTGCCACAGGGCCAGTGCTTGAAATCCGGGTGAGAGCAAAGGAACCTATGATGTAGCACAGAAGGCACAAGCCAGCAGTTCCTTGAATTTTAAGGGTGCGCTCCGGGACATGTCGAAAAGGATCCTCGTCTTCGGCGCTACCGGCAAGCAGGGTGGTGCTGTCATCCGCGAGACCCTGTCTGCCTTCGGCAGTACGGCCACCGTCTATGCTGTGACCCGCAGCTCCACATCCCCAGCCGCCCAGAAGCTCGAGCAGCAAGGTGGGGGTTTCCGAAAATAGGGGACCCTAATATAGTACCCTAAATAGTAGGATCCTTATTATAAGGACCCCCAAAATAGGATACCCTATATTTTCGGAAACTCCCAGGCGTGAAGCTGGTGATCGGGGATATGGAGGACTCGAGCCCGGACTCACCTCTAAAGGCCGCGATCGCCGAGGCAAAGCCCACGCATGTCTTTCTCATGTCCAACGAGAAGGCGGCCATGTTCTCGAAGGGCAGCGGCTGCAGTCAGGAGCTCGCCGCAGCAAACCGCATGCTTGACTTCCTGGAGGCCTCTGGAACTGTCGAGTACGTGGTTATGAGCTCGGTCGCCGGCTGCCATCAGGGTGCCCAATATTCGATGCCGAACTTCAAGGTGAAGGAAGACATCGAAGCCGCCCTGCAGAGCAGGTCGTCTTTGAAGTGGACGGTGCTTCGCCTGGTTACGCTCATGGACAACTTCGTGGACAAAGAGTACGGCGGTGTGACGAAGACAAGCGTCACGGGCTTGGCAAGCAATTCCACGATGGAGATGTGGTACGTGAGCTGCAGGGACCTGGGAGTGGCAGCGGCGACATGCTTCGCCAAGCCCGACTTTGTCGGAAAGACCATCAACCTGGCGAGCCAGAAGCTCAGCGGCGAAGAAATCGCGTCGGTCTACGCAAAGGTGATTAAAACGGACGCGAAGGTGAAGTACACGCCAATCATGGGACCCTGCCTCATGAGCATGGGATTCTTGATGCCGGACTTCGTGGCGATGCACAGGTACTGGGAGAAGGTTGGCTATCCCATCGGAGAGAGCGACCAGGAAGCCTTCAAAGCTCTGGTGCCTAAGCCCTGGACAATCGAAGACTACTTCACGAGTCTCGGCGACCGAATCCCAATGTGAGGTTGGAGGCATCATAGGACTACGTACTACTTTGTACTACCCACGAGCCAGGGTGACAGAACCCCGCTCTGATGCGGTAGACTCTGTGGAACGTTGCTTGCGCCCCTCAGTTTGCTTGCGTAGTTTTGTACAGATGTGGGTAGTTCTCAAGTTAGGGTCCCCTTTTGGGTCCCCAATATAGTACGGCATCCTTATAATATGAACCTTAGATGGGACCCTAATTCAGAGAACTACAGATGTGGAGAATGAGCCACATTCTCGGGGCCACC